TTTGCACGCAAAACGGCATCTTTATTGTATCCTGGTAATTATTATTATAATTCCTGGTCATGGTAATCTGTGTTGTGTATTCATATGGAATGCCATCGACCCAGTTGTTATAGACATCTGCCGTTTTCACATTAGTCATTCCGGTCCATACTTTGTCCGTATACTGGCTATAATTAGTCAACATTTTGTTTACAAACTCTTGCTCATCGCTCGAGGTGATGATCATCAACGATGCTTTAGGGTCCAGTTTAGTGCACTCGCTTTGAGCCAAGGTTTTGTCCATACGTTTTGGTATTACTTTAAAACATTTCTCTTTATTATATGCGACCCAATCATCGCATAAATTGAGATTAATTTCCACTGCATTTACTATAACTGCTAATAATTATAATAGTTTAAAAATTAATTAACGTTACCAAATTAAATTATATGAAAATTAGTGTTACCTATAGTACAAAGCATAAATGCTAAAGTTACAAACGCGTTTACACCCATAGTGGCTTTATAATGTAGAATATTTTTAAGTAATTAATTTTTATTCTAAATGAATTACTTAAAATTTAAACAGAACTTAAATAGATGAAAATTGCTGCCGAAACGTCGAGACAAACATAAATACTGTGTCAAAACAAATGAAAAACAGACATAATATTTGATAGTATTTCAATGAATATTATTATAATAAGAGGCCAACTATTTGCCAATTTATGAGTCATTTCTCACATTACAATTAAGTTGAATTTAAGTTAGATTGTTTAATCAATTTTGTTTGCTTAATATTTATTATAAATAATTTACAATTTGTTATCATAATGTATATATTATTTTAAAAAGTTATTCAATCAATGTCCTGTCAATATAGGCAAATACTTAAGCTATTAACAGAATTGTTTTTGGGGAATGTATTGACAACATAGAAATAATTTTAACATTACGTCTGCGGAGAAAAGAATTTGTTATTGGTTGATAACATAAAGTAGTTGACAACATATATAGCTGATATTAGTTGATAGAATAGATATTTTACTGTATTTTAATTATTGTTTGCATAATTTTTAATATTTTAACGATTAATAAATCAAGGTCTTATTAAGTGTTAGACTATTATATTAATAGTTATACAATATAAAATATTTAACATATCATTTAAAAATTACATTTTTTACCCTTAAATTTTTTTAAATTAAATCATGGCAAATGGGAACAAAATAACTTTAATTTAAAATAACTACAAAAATATAATTGGTTTACAAAAACCAGTTTTACAACAATTATAATGCTAATTGTATTCGTATAATTTGAATTTTATTAATTTAGTAAATCTTTATCATAACAATTGAAATATTTATAATAAGTTTTTAATTAATTTGTTTGTAATTATTACATTTACAAAAATTTTAAATATCAAAATAATATCTATTGTTCAAATAGGCTATTGCTCGGCAATGTAGTTCCTTTTATGAACTTGAAGTAGAAAAGCCAATTGTCATAAACAACATTAAAATTATGTTTTATTATTTTACACTAGTAATTTAATTAAAACATTAAGATAACAAAATAATTGTTTAAATTCATATACGGATATACAAGGGGTGAGAGGGGTCGGGAATATTATAAACTTGATAAAATAACGTAACGTTATATATGAAGAGTTCAATGCATTGATATTTTGGGAAAACCATACGATAGCTATCGTATAGATTGACTGCATTTGTATTTGACTTTGATTTCAAACCAGTCATTAAATTATATGTATTTCTGTGCCATTTTTTAAATTAATTGTTTTAATTGAAAAACATTTGGATTGTTTGGCCGTTCAGTCGGTGTCCAGCATTTGGCCGTACAGTCGGTGTTCATTAGGTTGACCTTCACGTGGTGTTTCTTGTTCAAACTGACAAACCTACATTTTTTATCTACCGTTGCGCCACCTATTTATGGCACACTGTGAATCTGTAT